ACGTGGAATATTCTAGGAATATGCACCTAGACTAAATTCTTCATTATCGACATCTTTAGGTAGGTATCTTATATTTATTATTATTATTATTATTGATTTATTAAGGGGAATGAACCCTTTAGTACAAAAGGTGTATGTGTCAAACATCGTCGCTCATCAAATTTTAACAAAATAAATTGATTTACGTTGCAAGGATAATTTTAGACTTTCTAATAATTGTTCAATCGTATGTCTTAGTGTGTACAAAATTTGCATGACTAAAATCATTCTGTTTTCACAATTTTGAGATCCAAACGTTGTATTAACATTTTGACTGCCACGTCATCCATATACGGGCGACAGGATTTTCCACTGTGAAACTAGAAAAATTCATTCTCAATTTCGGATGTCGAGGGAAATAAATTTGGATAAAATTTATGAATTTTAGCAAACTTACAAAAATAAGTACCGAATCAAATTTTATGTTATGCAGTTTACGATGGTTTGAAGTCGAAATTGTAGTCTTGCAGAAAATTGCACAATTTTCACGTGGCAGTGAACGTGTTAACAATGTTACGGAAATAAGTACTGAAACAAATTTTAGGTTATGCAGCTTACAATGGTCTAAAATTAAAATTTTACTTGCGCGGAATATTACACGGTTTTCATCTGGCGGCGAACGTGTTAAAAATAAAAGGATGCAATGCTTTATTCTCAACAGGAACAATATCGCCGATACCAGAAATACAACAGCGTCGATAGATATACCTACTCGACCGTAGAATCGCGAAAGGCGAAGGAATGCATCCGGCGTGCAATTACCACTAGTATAGTTTTACAGGTAGCCGGGAAAACCGCGTTACTTAGGGGATTAACCGACGCCTCTCTGTTCATCCGGTCCGATAAAATCGCGAACGCACGATCGCCGGGGTCGGAACGGAGTGCCGGGAGCTTAACAAAACCGTCGGGTAGGGTGTACGTTTCGAAAGATTAGCAAGAAAAAGACTCTTTTGGCCGGGAGAACTTTCCACGAGGCGGAAGGATTTTTTTCTCGGGTGTCCGTCGTGCGGGTCACTTTTTTTTTTTTTTATTTTTTCTACCGGCGGCTGCTCGCTAATTCCGCATCCGGTGGACGGGTACTCGTTGGGCACTCGATACACGCTCGACGCGTATATATACGCCGTTTATATGTATGCAACGGCTCGTAGAAACTTTTCGGTTTCGTCTGCATTTTCCCCCGGCAGGTGGCGAGGACGGTGCCGCGGCTGGAGAGACTTTCGCGAACTCGTAAGAAATTAAAGTTTCTTCGCGGAACTACGCCGCAAGTCGTTCTCCGGCGTCGTCGACGTCCTACGCTCCGAGTCTCTCTCTTTCTCTCTCTCTCTATCCTGGTGATCTCGCCGCGTTCCCGTTTCGCCCGGAAGTCCAGGCCCCCGCGCGACGATATTGCGGGCGAAATAAATCGACCGGCGCTGCCCGAGCTCCGGCGAGATTTTTGCACGTTTCCGGAGAAAGGGGAACGGGAAGCGCGAGTTAACCGGCAAAGGTAGTCTCCAGCTTCTCCTTTGTTTCGAGACACCAACGGGATGGCAGGCAACAGAGGCGATTATCGCGGGTGGAAAAACTGAAATTGCCCCTGAAAAGGCACGCTGAAGTACCATTTCAAAGTTTCTATTAATTTCTACGTCAATTCGAGCTATTAACCCTTTTAGTGCCGAACGACGATATATCATATGTATATTAAAATATTTAAAATCACACTAAAAAATTATATTTAGTTACAGGGGTCAATTACAATCATTTTTGATGATTACACATACCCCCGAAATCCTACACATTTTTGAGAAAAAATTTCTTACCGAAAATCTAATTTTTCTTCCAGACCTAACCCAGACCTAACCCAGACCTAACCCAGACCTAATCCAAACGTAACTCAGACCAAGGTGCCTAAATTTTTCGACGAAAAAAAAAAAATTTCAAATCGTTCTGAAAAAATTATTTTCGGTTTCGGGGGTCAATTACAATCATTTTTGGTGAATACACATACCCCTGAATTCCTACTCACTTTCTAGAAAAAAATTCGAGAAGGTGTGAAATTTTTCAAGGGGGAAAAAAAATTTCAAATTGTTCTGGAAAAATTATTTTCGGTTGTGGGAGTCAATCACAATCATTTTTGGTGAATAGACATACCCTCGAAATCCTGCGCGTTTTCGAGAAAAAAATTCAGTACAGGCTCCACTTTAAACGTTAATAATTTTTTAACAAAGCCTCATCATATTTTGAATTGAGTATTTATTAAAAAATCATTGAAAATCAAATACTTATACTTTATGCTACGTGACCTACATAAAACTGTGATCAAACAATGATTATTCTTATGTGTAAATATTGTTTGTAGAAGAGAAACTTGTTTCTATGTTTTTATCATATTTTATAATTATGTTATTTATATGATTTGCAATAAATATTGAAATGCAATTGCCATTACTTTATTTCGTAATATGCTACTTTTTGAATTTTGTAAATATCATTCTTAGTTTGGTTTTTATGAGCTTTTTCTCTAACCATAACAAACTCGTCAAATTGGCTCGGTATTCTTCGCATAGGCACTAAAAGGGTTAAGACAACCTTTTCGCGGCGCTGTGAAAACGGATTCTTCGACTTTCGACCATAGGGGCGATATTTGTTGTGTTGCATTCGGGGAACTCACGAGTCTAAACCGCTCTGATCCACGTGGCGTGGCGTACGATCGCGTCGAGGATTAAGCGAAATCGGCCTAAAGCGAGAAGGCCGTGACCTGGACGAGCTCCATTTCGATGGAAATGGACGCAAAATTCGGGGTTCGATGACCCCGGAAATTTTCCGTTTGTCCCATCGCGCGACGATAATGTGTAAATTTACAGCGTGGAAAATTTCGTATCGAATAAAACGCGGTAATCGTGTTCCCGGAGTCTTGGAGTTCCAGAAATACTGTCCCATAACACCCCTCAACTTTGCACCCTATAGAGAAAGTTCCGAGGATCGAGGAGAGGTGTTTGCAGTTTCCAGGAAATCGGATTCCGGATAAGTGCAAGCGCCTACGTAGCTTTCGAACGGGTTTATTTTCTTTCGCGCGGCGCAAAGAACGGGGTCAAGAATTTAGAGGCGCGTGATGCGGCCATTTCCATAAGGAGCGGAATAAAAAAAAGGAGACAGCGCGCGGGGAGAAGGAAACAATAATCGTAACGGCGGCGATAAAACGCGGACGAAATATTGATAGTAAAATTTTTATCGCGATCGTTTGGACTCGCGGGGATACGGGTTGCTCGCGAGAACGCGAATGATAATTTCCGAAAGAAAGACTGTAAATTAAAATGTAAGGGTAAACGTTGATGCAGCTACGTTTCTCGTGGCACCTCTAAGACTAGAATTTTTGATACTTAAAAGGGTTTAGGGAAGTTTATGCTAATGCAACGACGCGAACGCGGGACGCAAGTGCGCAACGCGGCAGGGGTGAAACCCTAGGCCTTCCGTGCGGAGTGGTGTGGCAGAGAGAAACGAAACGAATCGGTAACGGAGACGTTTGGGGGTGGCGCGTGGAAAAGCAAACCGCCGCTGAGGAAACTATTATGAACCGGGATGGGGCAAAAAAATGAAACGATTACGAGGAAAATGAGGCGTCGCGAAAAGCACGGCGAAATGAGCCGGACGGGGAAGACGACGCGAAGGGTGTTCGCGGGACCGCTTGACGAGAGAAAAACGTCCGAGTGAGAAATCTAGTGCGCCTGAGTGGAGAAAGGAGGAGGCTGAGAAACGGAAGCCGGGGTAGAACGGGGAGGAAGAAACGGGGGAGGACGTGGTGTCGCTGGAAAAGGACAAAAAAAAGCGTCAGGATAAAACGAACCGACGGAACTGGGTGAAAGCTCGAGAGAACACCAGATACCGGTAAGCTGGACACGTGCGATCGCTCCGGTGCTCCGTATAGATCGTTGGATCTGACTTTTGGATCAGTCGGGGGAGTTTACGGCGAAACGATCTCGCCGGGCGATAGCAAACAACAATTTGCTACACCTGCGAACGTTTCCTTGCTTGTCTTCGTCGCGTACTGTTTGCACCGTACGACGAACGAACATTGAATACCCTCGTGTTTGTCGTTCGAAAAACGAGCTTTTTTCAATAATTACCTACGTAATGAATTTTATCGTTCCTCCATGAAGCTTGACCCAGTTCCTAGAATTATCCTCCATAATCTACGGTGGGTATTTCTTTCCAGTATCCACTTTGGTCGTCTTGTTTGTTTTCTCTCTGCAGCTCGATATCATCCCCATTCTTATCCGTCTATCGAATCGTTCGCCGAATATCATTTCTCCGATACTACAAATTTAACCTACTATTGTATTTGCTTTCCTTATCGATTCCGCGTAGTGCCCGTTGGGTTAACGTTTAGGGCAGCGATGGACGAACCTACGACCCCACGGGTCAGACGGTTGACCCACGCATTGATTTTTATAAAAAAAATAAAGTGTACATGTATATGTGGTTTTCTTTGTTCAGTGCAGGGATGACCTGCACTGGTGCAGTAATTTACGGTTATCACTCCATTGTAAATTTTTTGAAGGATTTTAAAAGTAAGAACCTCCCCTCCCCTTTTCCAAATGATGTCAGTGGCTTGGGTGTTTGAGTATTTGGATTCCCCGACAGCCCCGGGGCAATAATTTATAAATTAATTCATCGATGCTTAGGACTATAGACGCAAAAAGTTGAACGTTCCGGAATAATTATGCCGGTTAAGTAATTATTAGAACTCGGGCAACGTTGAATTTGCATGTTTGATAACATTGGAGTCGCTCGGAGTCAACTGGCGCTCGCACGTGCAGAGAGCAAAATCCAAGAGAGAGGGAGAAAGAGAACACGAGTCGGAGGGAATCGCGACAGAGAGAGACGGCGCGCGAGCGGTGGTGGGGATACGCGAGGCTTGTGGAGGGGGGACGCGTGGCAACGCGCTTGCCGCAGCATCCGCGTGAAGTCAGTCGGCTGTCGGATCTCGTGGCGCGTGGGTCAGAGAACTGTGTCTCGTCACTTATCGTCCGTTACGAGGACACACGCCACAAACCGCGTGGTTATCCGAGCATTCAGTGCGCGTCTGCCGTAATTCGTTATCGTCGTCGAGCGAACGTACAGTGGGTGTTTTAAACACGACGACCAGCTGCGTTCGACGTTACCATTGGTGGACCGTGTGACGTGACAGCCGAGGGAATCCGTTGTACGAGGAAGCGTACCGGTGAGTCAGCGTCTCGATTTCACGTGTTATAATTGCCTCGTTAAACTCCGGTGCTCGTTTCGTTCCTTCCGCCGAAAGTTCTCGACTCGTTGCGCTGCTCGCGGACGACCGTGTTACGGTGCAGTCGCTGACGAAGTATATTTTACCAAAGACAACTAGTTTCGATTCGTGCGAACGAGTTATAAACGGGGACACGGCGTCGCGAGTTGCCCCGCTGGCTAAAGCAACGCGAAACGAGTGGGGCCTCGGAGTTCGTAGCGTTCGATGTGTGTCAAAGGCGTACCAGGGGCATATTAGTTAAACGCGTGAACCCACGCTCGTAAAATCGCGAGTGTCTCTGCTCGCGAGGCGTTTCGGATCCAATGTTCGAACTTGTCCACGGGGGATCGTTGCAACGTGTACGCGGTTTCGAAGAAATTCGGTGCTCCCGGTTGATTCGGAACGCGGCGTGACTTCATAAATGGTAGAGTGACAGCCGGCGCTGTAATTGCGTTGTGTCACCGGGTAGCGTCATACGAGAGATACGTCGACCCACGTATTTCAACGTTCGTTGGTGACTTCCCCTGCCGGTGATATAACGCGATGCGTTCAACAGGGCCAGAACACGCGGCCACGGCTCCATGTACACATACTCGCGTTTTTCGATACATAGGCTCCAGTGATGCGTCTTAAAATACAGAGCTCTGGCATGTTTCGTTTCACGCAGACCCGTCCAATGTACATTCGATGCCCCGGGGCAATGTTTCGGAAACCCTTAACGTGAATACGCGTTTCGTTAACATTTTTTCGAACATGTTCCGCGGTGGATCGTGTTGCCTGCGTAACCCGAGCAATACGGCAGGTTGTTACGTTCCAAATGATAATACACAGAATGCAATATTCCCCCCATTACAATTACGAAATATCAATTTTAGAAAGTTTACAAAAATAACTTTTCAGTCTCGGTTGTGTTTTTCAATTTTTCGTCCCCGATTCTTCGGCGTTTCCTGGCTCAGGAGCTTTTATATTCGCAGGAAGCCCATTAACGTATCGCAAATACCTCTTTCGAGTTTGGAAATACTTGGGGCGAGAAATTGGTGTCCGGCCCGGCTGCGGATAATTAGATTCTTATATCTTGAGAAGTTTTGAGTAGGCGTCATCCTATTAAGGCTGTGAAACGTTTCTCGCGGCGGTGTCGTTGACTCCCACGAACGATTGAAGAACCCGCTTTACCCTCAGACTTCGGGCTACGGCCGGTCGTTGGTCTTTTTTATTCGTGGCCGGTGTTCCTGGATCCCCGCGGACGATAGCGTCTCGCGCGTTGCTTTCTCTCAAAACAGTTTTCGACCCTGGAACGAACAACCTTCGAGCCCTTCCTCGGAACGAGCACGATGATTCGACGTATATACAGGTTTTTGATCGAAATATGCAAAGATTTGTTCGTGTACTGGGGAAAAGGACGAATCTGTTGTTGCTACTGCTTGCTAACTCGGCTCGAATCGATCGCTTCCAGGAATCCAAGATCAATTGAATCCGTTATCGCGGACGTTGGAGAGATAAGGCGCGCCTCGGGTCGAAGGGGAGTTATTTAGTCGTGGAAACGGTCGGTTTCGAGCACATCTTAAGCCCTACTCCGCGCAGTGAGTTATCGAACTATCGGTCACTTGTCATGCATTCGGTTATTCGGTCAATGCTCGTCGCACCCACGCATGAGAAACTCACGTCACGTGTTGCTATTGGCTCGAGTGCGGTCTTCTGCGTTATCTTCGACGCATTCTGAATCCACGCTCCCTTCAGTCGCTAACGATAGTGATTGTTACTTTAAATAATTTTTAGTTCAATTTCCTTCTTCGTTTATCGACATCTTGGTCATCAGCAACGTAGAAATCAGTTGTTTGAGATTTTTTAGAGCAGATTGGTTTTCCTCAAAAATACTAGGGCTGTTTCTGGTCACAAGGTTTTTTAGGTATCCCCCTCTGATTGTTCTGTTTTAACCCTTTGCACTCGAGGGCTTCGCTATGGAGACAATGCAAATAATTGGCGATTGCTACGAGAGGTATCACACCTTGGACAATTACAAAACGTAATAATTTTTTGTTTTTTTTATATATAATAACATTTGTATTCATAATCAATTAAAAAAATAATAAACAACGATGACTTTTCTTTTAATCCGCATATCATTTACTTATATGTAAATATAATCTTTTCACTAAAATTGCTTCGAGTGCAAAGGGTTAAAGGAGGAAAAATTAGAACGTATTTTTTTATATCAGCTAATTTTCATATTTAGAGTATGAAACGACTCTCAAAGTTTCAGCTATAATAGGCTATCTCAAAAACTATCATAGAAGAAAACTTCTTAAGGAAAAGTTTCATGGTTTTTTATATACATATAAATGCTGGTCATAAATGTTGTAAAAAATAATTTGTTTATAACATTATTTTAAAAACAATCACAATTTACGTAATAACAAAGAACAGAATTTTTTTTCTGAATTCATTGATACATCACATAGTATGTCTGCCTCTTACAGTTTTGCGTATTTCAATATTATATATCATACCAGATATGGACGTGCGGTCAATATCTTTCTTGGGACGATATCTTTTGGCAAACAACATATATGATCAATTTTGTCACACTACAATCAATACATATATCATATGACCAGAGAAATTCTATCGATCGAGCATGAGACATATATCATTTGACTCCAAATCGATATTAACGCCATAAAATGTTCTACATTCGTATAAGAAATGTTTGGCTGTTAGAGATTTGTTACATGATAAGCTGGTTCTGATTTGTCGAGGATGAAATTACGAGGAATCCTAATATAGCCCATCCTTAACACAAGATTTACGGAAGCCGTTAATTTGACGGATGTCAGATTCCATATTTAAAATTGCAAAAGCGCGTAAATATTATCTTTTAACAACTTATATTGATGTTGTTTGATGCAATGGCATGACTACATATTCTAATTAAAAGAAAAATCGTATTTTGAGGTAATCGTCAACATGAAAGGTATCGATAAATATACGTGCGATCAGTGCCCGTAAATCTAGTGTTAATCTAGCGATTACGATTCTTTCTCTTTGCTGGTTACCTCGTTTGAACGTTAATTGGAGTATTTTGCGAATAGCGGAACCGACTTCGCGTTTCACACTGACGTAGCTTGGAAATGCCTGCTCGTTCTCCGAGCCCGATGATGCGCGTCGCTATCGACACAGGTTCGATACTCGTGCGTTCATTGTATTAAGTCGTTCTACGGCTTTTATGGAGCGAATTGCGCCGTGCGACGGTGTCGTTACTTCAGAAATTTACGACTCGTAAACTTCGTTAGGTATTGCTCGAATCTTTGTACGTTGACGTTGCGCAGAATGCCTTTCAGAGTCAGCTCCCACTTGTTCGATTACTCCGCGATACAGTTAACAAAGGTCTATCAACGTTATACCGATACTTTAAGTAAATAGCACTTTTATTCGACGTATAAAACGAAAGGCGGGAGCAGCAGCGAAAGGATTCGTTCTTGTTTCTGTAATTCGGTTTCCCGGGCGAAATTGACAATAATTGGTAACTCGTTTGCTTTTTAAACGGTCCGTGGAACGCGATGGGAAACATCACCGTTTATTTGGACGTTAATCGCGCGGGTGACACGCGTCCCCCAATACCATGTTTCCTCTCGTGGGACTCTCGTTCGCGCGACCAACGGACGGTTGAACGTTGGAAATTTTTATTTCGAGGGGGAGTTTTCAGGACGTCGGCGCCAAGTCACGCTGCTCCCTCGTTCCACGCTTTCGTAATAACCGCAGAAAGAATCCCCGACGATCGTCGGAACGTCCAATTCGGCAGTTGAATGGCCCATCGATATCTCTTTAAAACAAATATTAAAATTTGCCTTATTTATATCAGCACCTCTCAAGCCCGTTGAAATAGAAAGATGATAGATTTCTCTCGGAGCACGCTTATTGGACTTTCGATCGATACTGCAGCGTCTGCGATTATCGGGAAGCGGTTAACCTTGGACGATATTCGCACCGGAATTACGGGAACTTGGTGAAGACGCGGGGGCGTCCGTGGGCGGTACAGCCAGCCATAAGTTGCATCCACGATGATGCATAATACGAACGAGTCGTCGCGTTACAGCTGGCGAACGGTCGCTGATCTCCGGGGCTTCCCTCGCCGAAACTTCGATCCTCGAAAACTCGTCGAACGATAAAGTCGCTCGAACGAACGACCGCCGATTGTGTTCTCGCGTGCTGCCGATACTTTTTCCCCACCGAAACGTCCAAAGTTTTTCGCACGAGTTGCGACCGGTTTGCTCTTGCTTTTAAGGGCTCGATGCGCCAACGGGATTTAAGAACCCTCGAATTCGAAAAAAGTTCGCTGCAGCGTACAGAAACGAATTTGCGACGTCTCGAATTCGAAACGGAATTTTCGCGAGCGCCGTTAAGGGCACGGCGAATGAAAATTAATTCCAAGAGCGTCGGGAAGGCGTCTGAGACCACTCGGGCGTCGCCAATTGTTCGGTCGAGCGCCCTTTTATTCGAAATTGTTTCGAAATTCTCGACGCACGGGGCGAGAGAGGGTCGTTCGGCGCAGTTAAGGCCGTTTTCTTTTATGTTAAACCCGACGATACGGGCTGAAACGAGCTACTGAACTCCGCCACTTTGCTCTCTTATCCTCCCGGAGACCTTGCTTACCCTGCCATTTTATTTCTCTTTCTCCTCCGGCGCCTCGCCTAACCCCACCCCCCCTTCGTCTCTCTCTTCGCCCTTCGCAACCTTGCGTGCCCCCTTTTCCCTCTGTCCCATCCGCCGACCAGGACACCCCTTTTTCACCTTGTTTCACCCCTTCCACGCCTACTTATCCAGCCGAGTCTTCGTCGAGTCCTCGTCCGTCCAACAGGCGTTCGTTCCGCCGCGCGCCTCCTTGACTCCCTTTATTCCGCTCCTTGCAAGGTGTCCGTGAATTTCGTCGGCCCCCCCCCCCTCCGGGAACAAAATACAGCCAC